ATTACCAAGCTGCTCCACCCAAATTGAGTATTACAACACTCAGCTGCTCCATCCAGGAATCGAACTCCCCACCCTGAGGTTGCAAGCCCAGCAGTGCCCATCCTTTGCCAACTTGGATGTGCCCCGGGGGGCATAATTTCACCTTTAATTGAACATATCACAGGCTGCCATATAAACTGGTGCTCTAGCACCATTGTTGCTAATAACACATTATTCTTTTCAGAATAGTTGCATCAAGATGATAAATAACATTTATAACAAAGTGCTCTAATAAATTTCTTTACTTAAAAAACGAGGGCTAATCAGTACCGTACATACCAAATGTGCACTTGAGTAACCCGTAATCCAAATTTTGAATATTTTTTGGTACATGCAACAGTAATTGGTTTCGTGACTGTCAATAAAATGTATTTTATTTTTTTATAGTGTAGTAGAAATTTGATTTGGCGGGTCAAAAGAGTAATTGTACGTATACATACGTAGGAGACCAGATAGGATATTCGACATGTGCAAATGGTCATTAAACTGAAAATGTGCCCATCACCTTTATTTCATGTATATACTGACATATTGGATCTCTTCTCTTGTCAGCAGTAACAAAAATGCCTCATAATACGTCGCAAAGACACCTCACCCATCCCATCACTATTAATAGGTTTTTCCAAGCCATTCAATGCTGGTACAGAAAAAACAAATTTTGTAAAAATAACATAACACACACATGGGGTGGGCCCTATTTTTATAATAATATTTTATTCACATGGGGCCCACTCCCATGTGAGTATTCTGACATTTTTACAGATGAAATAGCTTTGTACAAGTAGTTTAATTGATTCAAAATAGAACTGCCAACTACGGTCTATTTTTACCGTTCAACGCTACAAAAATATCATTATGTTGAAACGCTTGAGAAACACATTGAGTACTTACATAATTAATAACTTACAATTGATATTAATGCAACCACCTTGTCTTGAAAAACTTGTCAAGGATGGAACGACTTGAAAATTGCTACTTTCTATAAAAGACTAATTATGTAAAATTATCTAATTAGATAAAATGAATAAAATTATCTAATTAGATAAAATGAATTGCCTTGAACGTAGATCTTGAAGAGTGGTGAGTCGTCGTTAACAAAAAAAGGGGGGGAAATTAATTTAAGATTTCGAATGTCGAAAGTCATGTAGAATACTAGCACTTGAACAAACTTGCTACCAAATAATAAATGTTTAAAGTAATTTTTATTTTACAAACACGGCTTTACACTCCCCTCACATGAAGAAGGGCCCACACACAATAAAATATTCGTGAGCCCCTTTCCATATGAGAGGGGTGTAAAGTTGTGTGTATGTACACATAGCATTTTTTTATTTAATATTTGCTAAATAGCAACAATCACAACCACCAATCTTATCTTTTTGTTTGTTACATACAAGTGGTCACTACAATAATTTTATACAGGGAAAAATATATTCATCATGTAGCCATGGGGGCATGTGAAATTCCCCTGCAACGAAACCCGTAAAATACACACTTTCTCTTCTCTATTATATGAAATATCCGTAATGTCAAACTTTAACTATTTATCTAAAAACCAGCATTTGACCATTATTGTTTAGTGATCCTACCAATAGGTTTAAGAGCATCTCCAATAATAATGTAAAATAAATATTTGGATTTTCAAAGTGACTGAAAATCTCTTCAATGAAGAGATGCAAATTACATTTTTCGACAGAAAATGCAAAACAAGAAATAAATTTACATCTTTTTGTTACATTCACAAGAAGTAAAAAGTGAATTTAAATCTTTCTATTGGAGCATGATTTAATTTTAGATCTATCGAAATGTAAATGAAGATGCAAAAGTAATTTACATTCAATTTTACACCACTATTGGAGACGCTCAAAGAGTTCCAGCAATATATCCCTTGACATCACACTCGTGTGACTCAAACATTGATCCCAATTCTAAAATCATTTATAAAATCAAACTTTTACAATCTCATCTAAAAACTAAGGACCTGTTTGTTTTTTATTCTCAAATTCTACAGTAAATCAATTCTCATTTTCTACAACACATTCTTCAATAAAATAATATTTTCTATCATATCAATAATTTTTTCTTCTTTTTCAACCACATTTCCCATCATAAAAAATCTCTGCCAAACAAGCACTAAATATATATGCACAAGCATAACATAAAGAAAGTCCACCAGCCAGCCGTCCCAAAAGTACACGGTTTTTTTGATTGTTTAGGCTGAACTTTTAATATTGCTCCATGTTAACAGCACCCACTCTTGTCTTCCTCTCTACCCTCTGCCCCTCCTTCTCTTGGTGGAAGGCTTGCACAAACTTGGATGAAAAGAACTGGACGAACCCACATGATTGATTTCAGTACCTTTGGTACCATCATCTGTCTTGATTTTCTGTTGTTTTCCTAAGAATCATCAGAAGCAATAAACCCATCTTTAAGGAATCAAATCCTACATATAATCGTCTTATTTCGGCCATGCTCTGGTCTCCATTCTATTCTTCTTCTTCGTCCTCGTCCTCGTCCTCGTCCCATTTGTGTTTCTTGGATGTGCTGTTAATTTTAGTAGTGGTGACTCTTTCTTGCTCTGTATATACCTGTCATGGCTCATGTAATCAACTCGATCGAGATTCTTTATCATCATTCAACCTGAGTACTAGTACTCCATCTCCTCTGAATTGGTCACTTTCGGTTGATTGCTGCAGCTGGGAAGGAGTTGCATGTGATGAGAGTGACAGGGTGAACAGTCTATTGCTACCGTCGAAAGGGCTAGTTGGAACCATATCTCCCTCTATTGTAAACCTCAGTCATCTCTCTCAACTCAATCTGTCGCGGAATTGGCTCTCTGGACCTATCCCGGATGGATTTTTTACGGCCTTGAACCACCTTGTAATCATTGATTTGAGCCATAATCGTCTCACCGGGCAGTTATCAGATTCTGATAAGCTAATGAGTACTGCAACAACAGTGGATTTATCCAGCAACCGCTTTTATGGGACAACCCAATCTTCATTTTTCCAGCCAGCATTAAATTTGCAAAGATTTAATGTCAGCAACAACAGCTTCTCTGGTTCAATCCCTTCATCTGTCTGCAGATTTTCGCCCTTAATCGAGCATCTTGATTTCTCCAATAATGACTTTGTAGGCTCGATTTCACAAGGTTTTGGCCTGTGTTCCAATCTGTTGAGACTACGAGCAGGTTTCAATAATCTTTCGGGAGCAATTCCAAGTGATATTTACACAGTTTCAGCGCTGCAAGAACTTTACGCGCCTGCCAATAAGCTCTCTGGAGTGATAGATGAGAGCACTATTAACCTCATTAACCTTAGGACCCTTGCTCTCTTTGGTAATGAATTGACAGGAAAGATTCCTCGAGATATTGGGATGCTCTCCAACTTGGAAAAGTTGTTGCTTCACAATAATAAACTAAAGGGCACTCTGCCTCGATCTCTTACGAACTGTACGAGACTTACAACGCTGAGTTTAAGGGTCAACCTCCTTGAAGGTGAACTCTCTGCTTTTGATTTCTCAAAATTCATTCAGCTTAGGTCAATTGACCTGGGAAATAATTTCTTCACTGGTAGATTGCCAGCAAGCCTTTCTTTATGCAAGAATTTGGCTGCAATTCGCTTGGCCACTAATAGTTTAAATGGAGAGGTTTTGCCTGGCATAACGGCTTTACAATCTCTATCCTTCTTATCCCTTTCTAATAATAGCCTAAATAATATCACCAGTGCAATGCGCATCCTAACAGGGTGCAAAAACCTCAGCATTTTAATGCTGTCAAAAAACTTTTACAATGAACCACTGCCAGGAGATGAAAACTTGATAAGAGCTGGCGAGTTCCAAAATCTTCAAGTCCTGGGTTTAGGTGGCTGTGGATTCACGGGTCAAATTCCAATGTGGCTGTCTAGACTAGATAAGCTTGAGGTTCTAGACCTATCACTTAACAACATGACGGGCTTCATCCCAGGAT